TGCTATTGGGCTGTAGATGATGCACGTTCTTTTGTTTTTATTGTATATGTGTTTTCAGGCGTGAAAATGGTGCCTTTTGGTGGCCCCAGAACACCCCTTTGAGCGTGAAAATGGTCGCGACCGTTGACCTTTGGCGTGTTTAAGCTATTTTCGGTCTGGTCCACGTATATGACCCCTTGCAAAGAGGGGTGTCCGGTCTCGATAAGTTTTTTGTTCAAACCCCTAGTCCTGCGGCGCACAACAATTGTTAACACATCTAACACATAAAAGTCAACACCATCAACTATACATAAATTACATATAAAAATATACAATAAAAAGCCCGGAGGTATAAAATCTCAGATTTTACTTGTCTATTATGCGGTTTGTACTTACAAATTCTCGGCCTGGCTCTGTGTGGCTGTTCCCTCTGAACCAGCGCTGACCTCTCCCTCGGCTTGCTGGGACTCCTTCCTGGTCTCGTGCTCATGCCACCAGCTGCTGGACTTGGTCTGACTCGACTCTGCAGAGAAGGTGCTGAAGGATTTCTTCCACTCCGTCTGTGCTCTCTCCGAGAACGCCTGGATGGACAGGTCTGAGCTGGCCTCCTTGGTCTTGATGATCTTCAGTTGTCCTCCGAACTTGGCCGACCTAATGTAGTGTGTTCCGTAGCGTAGGATGAAGTTTTCTAGATAAGCGTAAAAACAACATTTTATAACAAAAAAATTACTGTTAAAGAATTACATCATAGAATGAATAGTTATTTATACTGCTGTATAACGTAACATACTCTGCTATGACAATGACGTTTTATCGAAGCATACTGCATCAAAACCCTGCCAATTGTGATCAGTAGTGATCACTCTTGTGTCGTGCTTCAGCCAGAAAAACCCTTGCAGCTGCAAAGCAAACACACAGTCAAATGCCTCCACAGAGTGGTGACCAACACAAGGAAAGTTGACTTCGCTCTAGCCTTGGCGAGGACTGAGTGGACGGCAATGACCGATGCTCCGTCTGTCGAGAGGAAGGTTTCAACCTTTTACTCCATCATCTCAGCCCTCATTGAAAGGCACTTTCCTGTCAGGGTGAAAACTGTGCCAAAAAACAACAGACCCTGGATGACCGACAGAGTCAAACGAGCAATCGTCCAGCGGCAAACAGAATTCCAGAGACATGGTAAATCCCCCACGTGGAGACGCCTTAGGAACAAGGTGAAAACTGTCATACGACAAGCAAAGAACTGGCATTATCGCAACTGTCGCAGGAGCCTTTCTTACATGCGTTGAAATATCCTGGTGTTTGGGGCAGGCTCTCGTCGGAGCTGTAGTAGTTTTCCTCCCGCCCAGCTAAACTGGCCGCTGGGTGGGAGTTTCGAGCATGTAGGATTTTTGCATGACAAAAGCTTCTACGGGTGACAAGTTGAGTCTGGCGGCGGGGAGCTCCTGCAGCCCCGAAGAGAGCCCGCCCAATCCACGACAGACGGGACACACATGAGGCTAACACGGGGAGCCACTTACGGAACTGCTGGTCAGCCCCGATGGAGAAGTAGGACACCGGCAGCTTGAGGAAGTCCCGCAGGAAGGCCAGGTTCAGGTCCGCCGGTTCTACATCGTCCATGAAGATCTCGTACCTGAAATAAGATTTCGTTTAAAATTCCCAGGATACATGGACACTATACTGTATACTGGCAATAAGTTAACTGATAAACAATGAAAAACATTATGTTATCTACTACAAAAATCAAGTATTAAAGAATAGGTTTAGTTTACTCAGGAGCATTCAGCTATACGCATGAGCGGAACAACCAGTATTACACGAACCTATGTCTTTCGGTAACTCCTATTGGCTTGTGCCAAATAAGGCAAGCTCATTAATATTAATGGCCGTTTCCATTTTTTTCCTCGCAAAATAAACTAATTTTCTGAGCGCGCTCATCAAATTTGCAGTCCGCCATACTGAAATTTTGTAATCCATGCACTGATTGGCTACTGCGATCTCAAGAAACGACTTCTGAGCTGGAATTAGCAGAGTCGATTCGGACGGCTTAAAATATAGAAGAACTTTTATTATTTAACACAACAAAAGTGCAGTGACTTTCGTAAGGTTTTTAACTACATGTAGACAAACAAATACTCGGGTACAACAACATTGACCTACGTACAAGAAAAATGGATGAATCAACTTATACTACATGTTCTAAGGTTAAACATTCTTTGATGAGTATTTGCACACAGTAAGGTTTAATACCTTCTAGAATGAAATTAAATCTATCTACAGTATGCAACAAATTCCGTTGAGGAAGCAGAAAGAAGCTAGAACAGCTTTGTTCGTATATCATCATATAGGGGAAAATCTATAATAACAATCTGAAAGGTCGACCCAAGCGTAAGAAAATGACTTTAGACTGTATACCTGAAGACGTTGATTTCCAACAGCGCCATGTACGTCTGTGTATTCTTGTCGGTCAGCCGGCCCTCGGCCTGGGACCCCGCTCCGAAGTTGGACGACTGGTCAGACCGGGCACTCTGGTCAGAAAACCCGCCTCCCGCCGAGCCGCCGAGCCCGAAGATCCCGCCTCCTGCCCCGTACCCGGCCGCCTTGTTCAGCTCCTGTTGGAACATGGCCTTGGCAGAAGTGACGGCAGATTTCTGCTCCAGATACTCCCTGTACCCCTCCATAGAGGCAAAGGTGTTGGACTCTACATCAGTGTCATAAACACCTTGAACTGTCATCGTGTCAGGAACCTCGTGATCTTCATACCTGGAAAATAAGAAGGAGTCAAAAATGTTTAAAGCATGACTAGAGTGAACAAGTTCCTAAATCTGTATTTTTTCCTTTACATTCCCTATTAACCCAATAAAAATTGCCTCTGTCACTAAAAGCGAATCTCCACCCAATCACTTCGGGACGGGGACACAAACAGCCATAAACAAACTTCACCCAAGACAATACTTTTGTTTTTTTGAAGTGTAAGTTCAGCTTATAGTAGTAGATGAACCCCATAACCAACCCACGTAGAAAAATGTTGAAATACAAAATGAAATTATCATAAGAATTCAAATATCTGACCAAAGAGGTAGAATTGCATGATCTGACGAACAAGCAGTCATTCTGTCATTGGTTCAACGGCTTATTGTGATAGACAGATTGGTGGGTCGTAAATTGTTTGCCCAAATAGAATGGAGTTTTTAAAAAAAGGGAAGATTTTCCTCACGTTTGCAGGCCGTTGCAGGACCGTTGTACGATGCTTCTCTTCCTGGAATCTGCGGAGTATTCTCCTCTACCGTCGAACCCCACACCCAGGAACGTCGCGCCGTCTATCAGGTTCTACAAACAGACACATTTTGAAATGCAACTGTTATATTGAATGACGATACTCGGTTGGGTTAAGGCGGTCTAGGCTGATATTCATGTTCGAGTTCGGGCGTGTGTCTGCACGATTGCCACAAACATGTTTCGAACCCGAATCTTGTTCCACCATGTTCGATATGACGTCATTCGAATAGAACGCGTGTTCGAATTCGGGGTCACTCGCGGTCATTTGTATGTTTCCCCTGTAAACCCGCGTTGTTACGCATTTTATTCACGGAGTATGACATAAACGGCTTTACGCGCAGCTGAAAACAGCATAATTGATCTTTAGAGTAATCCATGTTTACGTATTATCACTTTTTTATGAAAATTGTCCGAGGCTATTTTGCATATACGTCGATATTTTTTAACTGTGGCGATTTTTTAACGAAAAATGACATAAAAATAGCTGTTTCTGTCGTTTTTGGCCGAAAAAACAATGTAACTATCATTTAACACAAAATAGCCTCGGACAAAAATAATAAATAGGGGGTTGGATTTCTACTTGTAAAATATCATGATGAACGGTGTTGTTACCGCTTGCGCGTAAAGCCATGAAGTAAACAACTTTTTTAAACCAAAATGTTGATTTTTAACCCAAAAATCCAGAAGTAGTAAAAACAAAATAACCTTTATTCAATGTGTTTCAAGTACTACTAGAACTGTGTGAAGTTTAGTTGTGGTGCGACCAAGCCATCAAAAGTTACAGGCATATGTATGAAATACTACTCATAATATGCCATAGGCTGCCTTAACCCAACCGAGTAGAACCTTATCATTATTTGGTATGTTTCCTGTCCCGTAGCAACAGTTGACAGAGAGTGGGAGCTGATTTTCACAGTTGATTATGAAATCAAATAGGTCTTGAAAACAGATGGGTATTTGCAAGAATATACAGGAAGTGGAGTAATAAAGGGTTAATGCCCCGACCCGAGGTGTATATCGTGAGATAATCCCTGGTCGGGTGCGATAACCACCTCGTTATCTCACCATATACCCCGAGGATAAGGCCGGGCAGTAATTAACGTTATTATCATTTAGCCTATCGATATCGTATAGCCTATCATAGAGCCTATTTGACCCAAATTTCTTTATAAAATTCCTTCTTTGATTATGGTTTACATCATTTATATTCCTAATAAATCCATGCACGTATTTTGCGCGCACATAATCTGGTACATAAATGATACATAATTCTATAGACTTAAGTTTTGCAAATGGTGGAGGGGATTATATGATGTAATCTTATCTGGTATGACAACACTTTTTACATTCTTGCACATGACAACTAAGGCCGTGTCTATGTGGAATCACCCAAACCGCGATTCGGGTAACTCACATTCCTCACATCTGGTCCACGTGCCACACACACCTGTGAAACCGTGTCCGAACACAATACGCATGAGCTACATTTATTGCTGTTTGATGATAACACGCAATGTGGCGTGTTATTAATGTCAGAGGTCAACGACCTGGTTGCTGATGCCCCCCTCCCAGCGTATCTCGGCGAATGCCGACGTGGTCCCGCCAGAGGCGGTGAAGCTCGCCCTAGAACGGACACATTATTTGACCATTACTGCTCTTTAAGTTACTGCCACGTAAAAGTTGGTATTGCATATAAAAAAAGAAATATCACCCCGTAATCCATGACCAGGCGAAGTTACATTGAAATCACATTGCGTTCAGACACAAATCGCGATGCGGGGAAACCGATTCGAAACCACCTCTAGAAGTGGCTTGGGATCGAGGCGCTTTCAATGTGATTTCGGAGCGTTCACATGGAGCCACTTGAAACCGGCTTCGGGGTAAACCACATGTAAACCGCCTTGGGTGATTCTACATAGACACGGCCTAACATTCTCACACCTGGCACGTGCTGTTAAAACCACGTGCGCGTCAAACTCTCTGGCAGTTGCCACGAGACAAGATACATACAAACCACCCAAAACAATACTTCTGTACACAACGCAATAAATTGGCCATAGATTAGTATATTAGTATCTAAAAATCCAGACATACCGGACAACTCTCTCTCGGGATCTTGGCCTCCCAACACGGGTCTCCATTGACGTAACCGGTCCCGAAACAACCGTTCATAAGAACGGGGCCCAGTCCGACCGGGTAGCTGTAGGCTGAAACAGCGGCTGTGGAACTGTCTTGCTCGTCATCCCTAAAATGTAAGCCGGGAATCAAACATTCTTAAATAACAGGACAGAGATTTCATGGAGCGATTGATGGAACTGTTGTTCAACGCAAAAAAAAAAGAATTAAATTAGAACTTTTGACGGAATGTCTTAAACTATCCTTTTAAACTATCTGGCTTGATCGCTCTGGGCACGTGGGGAAGTCTATATCGCCCCCCACCCCCCCCCCACACACACCGTATTAATTCGTCCGGTTTAGAGAAGGCTGCTGGGAATGGACGGGGGCACAATATCGACTTCCAACAACCTTTGACCTATGCTTGACGTGTCACGTGTCCTGAGATATCTGGTCAAAGAGCAGAAGAGGGCTGAGTACTGAGTAATTCAGTAAAAATTCCATCGAGGTTTTTTTTTTTAGTTGAAAAACAGGTTGTTTCATAATGTACTTTTTCAATGAAGATGATTTTTCACACTGGGACAAATATCAGTGAGTGTGCTTTTAAATTGTTGAATTGAATTAAATTACACAACACATTTTAAACAGTTACAAAGGGCTACAAACCACACATACAAGTGCGCTTTCTAAACGCACCTAAAGTCATCTTAAAACGTAAAGCTCAGTTATACCGCACTTACGTTTCATCCGCATAGTGATATTTGTGGCTGATTTCATAGCCAGCGGGTACAAACGTGTTTCCCAGGTTATCCCCCCTGCTGATAGGGAGAACCCGGACATCAGCCTGAAAACAACACCAACAATATTGTAAAAAAAATACCAGATAAAACCTCAATGACAGTGAAAATCTGTTGTTTATACTCGCAGAAGTAAACATGAATGGATGAATGTTTATTTGATCAACACGATCCTTAAAAAAGTACATCGCAGTAAGGCAAAGTGGCTGAATGGCATACTTTTCACATATATGGGCATTAACAAATTGACATTTTGTTCAAATATTAATATTTACATCATAATAATGTTCTAAATGAGGAGAAGTTACTATTAGTAGTTCAGTAGTTTTATCATGTACGGAATAGGACTGTTCTTGTACATCTGTTTGTTCGTGCTCTGAATGTAGACAGAAGATATCTCGTTTTTTCTAGATTTCTTCTTTTTTCCCTAAACGCATAAGGTCAATGACCTGGACAAGACGGCTGCCGCCATGGTGACTGGTGCTGTAGCAGACATCTTGTAGTGTTGAATTACATTATGTAGCAAGTTGGGGCTGGTGCTTTGAAAAAAACATGCTTCATAATATTTCTACCAACACAACTGGACTTTCAAGATTAATATATGTATTTACCTCTTCAACTGGTTGACTCAAGCCTGCAGCTAAGTTATTGGTTTGCCCCAGAACGTCCTTGTACTGCTCATCGAAACTGTCTAGCTGCTTCCCGAAGTAGTCCTGGAGGGAGTTGACCACTTTCTCTTTGTGGTCCTCAACCACGCCTTCTGCTATCCTGTCGCCAAGCTGGTTCACTACCTTCTCGCCGACCTGGCTCGCTGCCGAGGCCAGGAAAGCTGGGGCCGCCCTTTTTACAATGACTTTGTTCATGTCGATCCCTTGAGCGTCCATGGGGACACCGGTGTCAGCTGGTGTTTTCGCCTCACGTTTGGCGGCTGAAATATGGATGAAGATTTGATAAAGTTATAATCGTTAACCATATCTAGACTGGGCTTTTGGGGGATCTTTGGGACTGGGGAGGGGGGATCATTCGCCCCCCCCCCTCAGAACTCGTAAACGGTATATTGTATGTCCATGACATTTTCAGAGGACGGTGTACTGGTACTATTTAAACATATCAACAATTTCATATCATTATGACGTAATATGACGTCATTCATGTGATTTATTGCCTAAAACCGTTTTTCTCGTAAACGTATTGGTATACACCACAAGTTTGACAAGTATCTATGATAGACTAATGAGGTCCACTTAATCATATGTTGCCCAAAGCAACACCAGTGACGTTATAAAATAACGTCATCCATATGTAAGCTATCCGCCATCTTGGATCGTCAAAATTGAATTTTCAAAAATAATTTTTTTAAGATAAAGCCTAAAAATACAATGCAAATAGTATCTAAATCTAAGGGCCTCCTCTCGTAGCCTATCTTGGGGCTATTTTTAATGCTCCCTCAGGAAATAAATATCAGGCACATGTTCAAAAATAGTTTTTTTTGTTTGTTTTACCGCCCTAACATTGCAACTTACTGTATCAGCTATTTTACTTAAGTTTAACGTGGTTCTACAAATTGAGGTGCACAAATTAATATCTGTTTTCGTTTGCAAAAAGTCCCTCTATGACAGCAATTGAATGTGTGACAAAGGTCTTTATTCACAACTAAGACTTTTCCTTCGCACTGCCGGTAGGTGTAGCTGCTACAGTGTTAACGTTGCGGTCTACTCTAGTCATGGGGGTACATCTAATAAAGTTGTACTTACCTCTTACATCCCTGAGAGCGTTGTTGAGCTCGGCGTCGTTGTCAGTAAGTATGCTGTCGACTAACCTGTCCAACAGACTGCGGCTGTGTTCGGATCTGCCTACTTGCGGCACTACGACAGCTGAATTACAGAGAAGACATGTTGGATCAGGAAGGGATAACCGTATTTAACTTAGCTATACAGGCTTTTCACATACGCAATGTTGGATTACAGTGTATGTCTGTGGCCGTGTCTATACGGAATCACCCAAACCGCGATTCGGGTAGCTCACATTCCTCACATCTGGTCCACGTGCCACACACACCTGTGAAACCGTGTCCGAACATAATGCGCTTGAGCTACATTTATTGCTGTTTGATGATAACACGCAAGGCGGCGTGTAATTAATGTCAGAGGTCAACGACCTGCTTGCTGAGGCCCCCCTCCCAGCGTATCTCGGCCGAATGCCGACGTGGTCCCGCCAGACGCGTTCAGACGCAAATCGCGATGCGGGAAAACCGATTCGAAATCACCTCTAGAAGTGGCTTGGGCTCGAGGCCCTTTCAATGTGATTTCGGAGCGTTCACATGGAGCCACTTGAAACCGGCTTCAGGGTAAACCACATGTAAACCGCCTTGGGTGATTCCGTATAGACACGGCCTGTTAAACACGCCAGCATCATGTTGATGTAATCAAGTTACCCGCCAACACCTGGTCGCCGGGCTTCATATGATAATTATCATGACGTCAATGAAAAGCCTCCATACACAACGGTCTAAACAGTACAACTCCTGCGACCTTTGCTTGGCGCTCTCTCCGCGCTCCGACCAATTTCAGGTCTCAAGCGCAGTGAGAACGCTGTCAAAGTACTAGTAAATGGGGGCCTTATTTTTACACCCTTGATTTCATAATTTGAATATGATAAAGGCTGTACAGGATTGAATGTGAAACAACAAAACAAACAAAGCGTCAAAAATTTCGTTCTATGTTTCCGTAAAGTGAGCAATGAATTTGTTGACTGCCCAAAAATGTTGCTGACATTTTGGTTTTAGTCAAGCAGAGAGCGTATAGAGAGGTCACCGGAGAGATGTCACTTGAGCACGTTTTTCCTAGAATTCGGCGCTCTCCGCGCTATTTTCCATTTCGTAAACGGTCGTCGCCATTTGAAACGGTCGATGCCATTTCGCTGAATGGTCAATGCCATATCCGAGCGTCCAAAAACGACTAAAAAGTAATATATACTATACAGGCTTTTCACATGCGCCATGTTGGATTACAGTGAATGACTGTTAAACTTGCCAACATGCTGCTACTTAATCAATTTACCCGCCAACACCTGGTCGCCGGGATTCATATGGTAATTATCATGACGACAATGAAAAGCCTCTATAAAAAGCAATATTCTAATAGCAGACATAAGGGAGGGTCATGTAGAACTGTAAATATTAGTGGAAAAAAAGCACAAGCTCGGATTCGAACCCGGATCCAAAAGTGTACCTCCAAAACCCTAAACAATACCCTAACCTCTACGCCACGAAACATCCCAGTGTGGATGGACCGTGCTGATACACTTAAAATTAGCCGTTCTGCGATATGGCATCGGCCGTTTTAAATGGCATCGACCATTTACGACATAGAAATTAGCCACGGCGAGAGCGCCCCAGAGTGGAATAGGGTGTAAAGAGAACTGTTACGTGTACTTACCAGCAGAGGTAAAGTGCTGAGACACTAACAACTGGAGAAACAGGAGAAGGCAGGCCATCTTCACGGCTGTCTTCTCTGGATTTCTCACCCACCCTTGTGGAAGCTACAACTCACATGGGCGTTGGCCCGCCCTAATACACACCTGGCGTCACACCTGTGGTCACACCTGAGCGTCAGTATAAGGCCGTGTTTAAATGAAGTCACCCAAGGCGGTTTACATGTGGTCTACCCCGAAGCCGGTTTCAAGAGGCTCCATGTGAACGCTCCGAAATCACATTGAAAGCGCCTCGATCCCAAGACACTTCTAGAGGTGGTTTCGAATCGGTTTTGAGTTGGATCTTTCACAGAATTCCTGTTTACATATGTTGTACGCATACAATCGACTACATTCCCACAACAGGCACCAGGTGTCTACATGCAAAAAGAATCCAGCCAAATACTCGAGTTATGACGTTGGCCGACATGCGTACACACACCACAGCTGATCCACTTGGCCCAAACCGAAAACATATCTACCTATCTAGTCATATCTACCATTAGTTTCTGACATATAGACAGACGACTACTACATTGGCTGCGTGCCCCCCCCCCAAAAAAAAGGTACCTATATAGCTATTTGTCATATAGCTATATATATATATATATATATAATGGTTTAGGTGTTGTTGTTTAATTACTCCCCCTTGCGGAAAGGAACAACCAAACAACTTGTACCACCGACAGCTGCGTGCCCGACGTTACGCCATATACGTGGAGGCGCAGTACTTATTTTGCAATAGGTCACTTTACCAAACTGTACTTTGACTATAGTACACTAATTGTTGCCAGTTAATGCAATTTTAGCCACACAGTTGTTATCTATAAGTCTCTAGGAAGGGCTGTAATTACAGTAAATTACGTTAGTAAGTCAAGTGAGACAAGGGTGTTTGTACACGACTTGGGGCATACCAACATCATTAAATGGAGAAAAGCCTTGTTCATGTGAAGTCACCCAAACCGCGATTCGGGTAACTCGCATTCCGCACATCTGGTCCATGTACCACACACTCCTGTGAAACCGTGTCCGATCACAATTCTCTCAAACTACATTCATTGTTGTTTGATGAAAACACGCAAGGTAGCGTGTTATAAATGTCAGGGGTCAACAACCTGCTTGCTGGTGCCCCCTCCCAGCATATCTCGGCCGAATATCAACGTGATCCCGCCAGAGGCGGCAAAGCTCGTCCTAGAACGGACACATTATTTGACCATTACTTCTCTTTAAGTTGCTGCCACGTAAAAGTTGGTATTGCATATAAATAAAGAAATATCACCCCGTAATCCATGACCAAGTCACATTGAAATCACATTGCGTTCAGACGCAAATGGCGATGCGGGAAAACCGATTCGAAACCACCTCTAAAAGTCGTTTGGGATCGAGGCGCTTTCAATGTGATTTGGAGCGTTCAGATGGAGCCACTTGAAACCGGCTTCGGGGTAAATCACATGTAAAGCGCCTTCACTGACTTTTATATAAACACGGCCAAAGAAATAAAAGCACTTGTAGCACAGCTGCTCTCTTAAACCATTTAAATCTTTTCAAAATGGATTAAGGTCGTTCCAAAGTATGCCTTTCAAGTGACGTTTGCTAAATGTATTTTCTTCTAGTAAAATTAACAGCCCTATCCGTATATACTGTATATACAGTGCATTGAATCCGGTTCAGCCCTTAACACGGTCAAAGGTAAAGGCGGAGATTCGCCTGAATGAGTCCCTTTATGTTCCAAACTAGTTCCAGCCGCCTGACTACAGGACCATTACAGTGTTTGCTGTCACGCAGGTATCGTCACTTCAGGTTCGGGCTTAACAAAAGACAGAAGACAGCGGGGTTTGGCAGTGATTTGCCAAAACAACACAAGGTATATGCCATGATACTTTTTTTATTTATTATTGTTCTCTATTCTGTGTTGGTGGCGTCGGTGGCGCATCGGTTAGAGCGTTAGACTCGGAACCGAGAGGTCCCGGGTTCGATACTCACCGTGGCCCGACGTTGTGCCCTTGGGAAAGGTACTTTACACGACTTCCCCACCTGTACAGTTGAGCTAGTGACGCCCACCGAGCCTCTGGGCTATTCTGTCTGGATAACTGTGTGCCAAAAACACACTACGGATTTGGTGCGCCGATGTGAAAACATCTGCACATTGGCCACTGAGAAGCCTTTATCTTTTTTTATTCTGTGTTAGACTTGACCGCTCCTTACCGCATCAGACGTAGGTTTTGATCGTTTAAACCACACTTTTTGTGTGTACCTCTCAGTCGTAGTTTACACGCTGTTTGTCATGTATCCAGTTATGCCCCTGTCACATATTCAAGACCCTCTGTTAGTCTCTTGTGCAGGGTCCAGGCGGGTGGGAATTTTGATACAGCGTTTTGTAGGAGGAATGCAACCTTCTCTGGCGGCAGGTTGTAGTATGGCCGGCTATTAAAAGAACGTTAACGTGTTAAAAGCTCTAAAAAAATACACCGTTTCAAAATTCCGACCCGAACAGAGCCTGGACAGGAGGCTGAACCTCTCCCGAATTGGGAGCCCGAACACCAGCGATTACCCACAAAAAGTTCGCCTGGTGTTTGGAAGAAGTATGAACAGATTTAGGCCGCGTCTATGTTTTTTTTATATATTCCAACATGTAAACACCAGACGTGGTGACGACACACTCAAGTTTTTTCAACTTATATTAATGCCGCCACCAACACGGGAAAAATACATGACAGGACAATACTCATTTTCACCTGAGCGAAGTGAGGAAAGTCGTGTAAAGTGCCTTTCGTGTAAAGTGCCAGTCCTGACATGCCACCGATCTTGTGCCCTTGGGAAAGGCACAAGATCAGTGGCATGTCAGGACTCGAACCCGGGACTCTTAGTTCCGAGTCGCGCACTCTGCCGCTACGCCACACGACCCCAATTCGTCTATGTTTTGCGCCGACCATATCCTAACCATTTCAGAACCATTTCCCGAACTAATAACTTCAACCCGAACTTGAACCAGCCCCGAATGCTGGCCAACGTACTTCGCACCATACCGACAACCCAAACACGGCGTAGTTATGCATGGTACGATCTGTAAAAAAATCTGGGCAAAGTTAGGGCACGTGCGAAGTTAGGGTACCCCTATTATGGGTTACGTGATATCCATTACTATTCGTTGGGTGTTGGGTTTTCGCCTATTTTAGCTTCCCTTATGTCGTTTAACTTTGTATGTGTGCCAAAACTACAGGAGTCGGTAGTTAGATTGGCAAGATTTGTTGTAAAACACAAATTTACATACCCTCGAACCAGCCCCGAATGCTGGCCAACCTACTTCCAACCATCCCGACTACTTTGAACCATATTACAACTCTGTCCCGAATGAAAATTCGGAGAATCAGGAGTTTACTACGTACAACCATTTCAAACAATTAAAGTTGAACATTCTGGCATTTTTAAAATGTTCTTGGCCAAATTCTACTATTCCAGCCGCGCCCTCAAGCCTGGTAGAGGCTAGATTCGTGAGTGTGTGATTATAGTGTGTCCTAATACCCCTATCACGTTTTCTAGGAACCAACTATTCGCTGTGCTATCCATGTTTTTCAAAGCTATCGCATAACTACAGCCTATAATCCATGGGATTGTGTTTCCCTTCATGTTTTAAATGCAAGGCCGGAGATTCGCTTGAATGAGTCTATTTTTGTTTTGAACTAGTCAAGCCGCCTGAGCTGACTACAAGACCATCACAGTGTGCGGTGATACGCAGGGTTTGTCACTTGGAGTTGGGGCTCAACAAAAGGAAGACCCGATCAACACAAGGTATATGTCATTTTATTATATCATTAATATTGTTTTCTATGCTGTGTTACACTTCCAAACGCATTATACGTAGGTTTTGATTGTTTGAACGGGAATAAAAATCCTTAGGCAGGGTTTAAAAAATCTGTAGTACAAAAATATGTAACCTACTAGTTGATAAAACCATGTTAGGCCACACCGACTTAATTTTATGGATGACATCCTCTGAGGTCCCCCAAACTAGTGCGCGCGGGCGAATAAAAGAAAAATCCGGCCAAAAATAAAAATGCTACTAAATCACAGGAATACAAAGCTAGTGTTGTGAATTTACGGCAGTACATACCAACGTATACAACAAGCCGGCACATGCTGGCTTTTGCCGAAGTTATAAGTCGGCAGTCTCGGCACTGTACGTATGTACTGAGTTCTTGAGTCCTGGAGCTTCGGTAGCCTGGGTGCCCGGCTCCGTATTGTTGCTAACTACCATGGACTGCCCAGGCCAGAGCCTCGGTGGACATGATCTTTTTTATACACATTTAACAAAGACACTTTTAGAACAATAAATGCTAAATTCTGTACCTACACGGAGCCTACAGCTATACATACTAAAATTTCCTCTTCACATTCGAAAAATCCCTTCTATACATTCTAAAAATCTCCGGCCCCCATACATTCTAAAAATCACCGCCATACACTCTAAATTTGAGCTCCGTACATTCTAAAAATCACCTCTATGCAAGTTCTCGTTTGAAAAATTCTTGTAATGATTTTACGGAAAACTGTGCAACATTAGTAAGGAAACTGTGCAATATTACATGTATGTGTCTGTGAATGTATCACAATGTGTTAAATGTTTCCCTGTATGTACGGTCATAATTCATGGCCGACGTGACCTGGGCTCAATGTCCCTTTCTTATTTGCGAAAAATGAATGATTTTATATAAAATTCACCTCTGTACATTCCTAAATCTCTTCTATATATATTCTAAAAACTTCCACCGCGATCGTTACCTGTAGAAATGCGTTCGATGTGTGTATGCCTACAGGAAAAATCACACCAATTATAAACAATCAAGACACCATGTAAGATGGTGACAACTTTAGGATTTTAGGACACTCTTACTTTCAAACTCTTGCTTTCACTCCCATATTTACACTTTGTACAGCGGACATTCAACATTCGACATTAAACACATGGAGAGATTTTGTGGTTCGTTGTCTGTATGTTGAAAAAGCTGTCTGCTAAAAGTCAAACTAGGCGTGTCATTTCAACACGTTATCTATAGTAAACTTGGTCAAGCGAAGATCCCGCCAATACGGGGACGCCTAAGCTTAATA